CTTAGCAGTAGCAGGGACCCAGCTGGGCAGTCTGGAATGGCCATCATAACAGCAACTCACTTGCAATTAATCTCCCAGGCTCCCACCAACCTCAGCAGTCGCCTGCGGCCTGGAAGCCTGGAGGACAAAACCCCAGTGAAGAACGGGGGATATCTTCATGGCTCTGTGGCCCAAGAGCAATTTGTTCAAGTTCCAAGGGCTTTAGTGTGGCCCATGGACACTTTTTCTCTTCACCCAGTTTCTAGACCTTGTTTATCTTTCTTCTCTTTAGCTTAGATAGTCCATGAAACTCTCCCAAACATAAGGTATTATTTTCCATCTTTTCCTTCCAATATATTTGTCCCAGACAAGTAGATATGCATGCCTTAAAGATTTGTCTCAGGAACATGGGAAATTAGGTTACCTGAATAATGGTACCCACAAAAGTCAAGGAAGAATTCAGTTCAAGAAATCAAGGAAGAGTTCCTACCAGTAAGCCAATCTTGCCAGCAAGCTCCCAGCCAGAATCTGGCTTCTCTTTTACCTGAAGACAATGAAGCCCAAAGCACTTAGAACATCCACCCGGCACACACTTAAATATTCAATATCTTAGCACTCATTTTACAGAGACTAATTGAGGACAAATTCTGACAGGTTAAGGACTTTGTCTAGACCGGGGGTTGGCAAACCATGGCCCATGGGTCAATTTTAGCCCAACTGCTTGTTTATAAATAAAGTTTATTGGAACACAACCACGCCCATTCATTTTTATATTATCTATGGCTGCTTTTGCAATAAAAATGGCAGAATTGAACAGTTGTGGTCGAGACTGTGTGGCTATCAAAGTCTAAAATATTTACTACCAGGTCCTTTACAAGAAAAGTTTGTGGATCTCTGAAATAGATCCTTCCATTTAGCCTTGAGGTTGACATTTGTCATCCTTATTTTGCCACAGAGGAAGCTGAGGTTTAGAGACAGCAAGTAAATTGCCCAGGGTCACAGAAAGGATTGAGAACATCATCAAACTGTCTTTTGACAATATCATATGGTCTCCTATCACAGTCATTTCCCCACCTCATGGGACTCTTGTAAAGAATCAATGAAAAGATACAGTAGGTCAAAGAATTCCAAGGAAGTATCAAGCCAGCCAAGATTATCACGTGTACCTTCCTTGGAGTTAAAGGCCATCCTATGTGTTTCTGTCACTTTACTTTTTCGGAAGTTGACCCTGTCCACTGGTGCAGGAGCACCAACCTTGCCCTGGGATCCCAACCAACCTTGCACACCTCCCCACAAACCTCTCAACATCTCTGCCACCCTTTCCCCCAGCAGACAGGCTCAACCTTTCTGAGGTAAACTCATTCTACAAGTGAATAAGGAATATCAGTGGGTTCAACACAGCCATCAAAGAGGGCGACCTTGTCTCACTCTTCCCAAGTCCTGCCAGCTCACCTCCACTAAAAGCCCTCATTCCCAGTTGCAAATCAGCACAGAGGTAAGAACAATCCAGATCCAGTCCCTTGAGGGAAAGGCTGCCCCAGGCTGTGAAGCCCAGTCTTGTCAGGTGAATTCATCTTGGGCTGCAGCACTGAGCTGCCAGAGGGCATGTCTGATGAGAGAAGAGCTGTCCCAGGCCAGAGTTCTTTGAGGGCAGGGGCTGTATTATGGACCATAGGGCCCACTTAGCACAGGGCTTGGCACAAAAAATGTGACCAACAAATGAAAGCTATGATCATTATGTGTACTTAAGAGTTTGCTAAACAGTTGAATCAATGAGTTACGGTCTTACTACAAATCTCTCAGCACCAAGGTAGTTAACCACATACACAATCTTATAATTTACACAGTATTTTCCACATACCCTATCTCAATTTACCCTTCCAACAATGTTTAGGGAAATACAGAGAGCTTTTAAACAGACAAAAGGAGATGAAAAGGTTAAGTAACTCAACCAATATCACACAGCAAGAGAGGGACAGAGGGAAGATGTGAACTCAGGGCTGCCTCAACAGCTTGTATTTCTCCCAGCAAACCATACTGCTTCTCTGCCAGAGAACCAGAGGCAATGGCTGAATTTATGTGCCCACTCCTCACCATGGGCATGTCTTTCTTTTCTCTCTCTCTTCCCTTCTCTCTAAAGCTCCCCTTTTTCCTTCCTTTCCCTACCCCAGTCCCATAAAAGGATTCCTTGACTATTCTAATGATTCTATACTACATATTGTTACTTTTTTAAAAAGCATGCTTGGGTTCTACCCAAGGTTTCTCTGCAAAGTTTTAAGTTCTAATAATAGCAGGGAAAGAGAACTTAAAATACCACTTGCATTTAAGAGCTCCATACACAACTCTTCTTTACTGAACCACAGTGATTGGATTTTAAATGTACTGAGCACCTCTGGCTGCCTCTTATCCTATTGTCCCCTAACATCACTGCATCAAAGGGTCACAAGATCCACTTCCCTCATTAGAAGTACAAGCTCCATTTATACTGGAAAGCCTTTTTAAAACAACCATATAAAATAGATAGCAAAACCTAAAAATATGTTCAGCAGACTCACTTGTCCTGGGGCAAATTCCAAGTACCAGTATATAAGCTCAGCAATTCAGGAAGCATTCCAGCCACTCTGTCAGTGTGTGTATGGGTCAAAGTCATCCGAGACCTGATGTACATCAGATGTCCTGAGGAATACATGTCAGGGCCAGCCCAGACAAGCCCTTGCTCCCTTCGAGAGTGCCTCTGTCAGAGTGACTCTCTCACTTTCCAGGTGGGACATGGACAGGAATAGTGGCCAGGATAGTGGCCAGAACAGAGAGGGCTGTATTAATGCTGGGGTAGCAGATGACGTTCAAGTGTTGCAGAGAAGCAAGGATATGATTTGGCTGCTCTTGCCTGGGAACATCCATCCACTCAGCTGGCTACCTCTGCAGCTCTGCTCTATACCTGTCCAGGTAGAGAATATCTCCCTTGAATGCCTCATATAGTGCCATCTCAGGCTCGTGATTCTTCAGAAAATGCAGATTGCTTGCGAAGAGGTACTGAGCAACAAATCACAGCAAGCACTTTAACAGCTGCTCCTGCACTTCAAAAATGACATGGTTCAGAAGGTGAATAAACAAGGCCTTTCTGTGGCTCTCTTGGAGGTCTGTGGCCATGAAGACATTTTGGAGAACTTGTTGACCACACAACATGGGGAAAGCGGGAGATTCTTCTATTCCCATGCTTTACTTCATTGTACAAGGACACAAAGCCTGGGTCCCATCGACCTTCATTTTCAGGAACCCCCAGATGACAAGCGGATGAGGTCAGTTAGACTGCTACATGTCCTGAGGCAAGGACTTAGTATATGAAAGGATGCACTCAGCCCATACCTTCATTACCAAGAAGTCAAACTTGGTGATGGAATAAAAAAGATCTTTAAGCCTCCCTGTGGGTACCTATTTCCTGAAAAACCTTGAGGAGGATTGTACAGTGGGCCATTAAAAGGCTCAGACACTGAAAGTCTGCTCCATCTGGCATTTTCTCTGATGCTTCTTTCTTCCTCCTCATCTTCCTCCTGCTTTGCACCCTACTCATCAGGAATGCCTGCAGCAACCCCAGCTGAGCTGGGAAGTGCTCTGAGAACGCCTTTGGCAGTACCATGACTTTGCCCACCAGAAGTCTGGTGATGGGCTCCAATGCACAGGACCAAATAATAGTTGGGTTCAGCCCCTCCATCTTAGAGGCCAAGAGCAAGTTCTTGGGAAAGATGTTGCAAATCCTTGCCAGCTGACCATTCATGGAATTATGCTCCGGTAACTGAAACCCCACAGAATTTCCTTTGCTAAACCCCAGACTGATATTCTCTGCAGGAAGAGTTCCATCAGGAGATTCTCAATCATGCCAATGGCCTCGACAAAAGTGATCGGATCTTACACAGCTCCACCTTACCTTCTTCACTGCAGTGAACGCAGCATACAGAGAAGGAGAGATTTTCTTTGGAGGAGATACCAGTGCTCCCCTCAAGGATCACACTAAAGAATCTGGTTGCTTTTAGCTGCTCCTAGAGCTCATTCTCCATTTGGAGGCCTATTAGCTTGATCAGTTCATTCTACATTTGTTCAGCTGTTTCCAGAGTACCATGTGGTACCTAGCTAACATTCTTCTTTACCACTGAGTCCACTTCTGTGATATAATGAGAGAATGCATATACATTCTTGGTGTTAGTGAGCCATTCATGTAATGGAATAATGTGTTTTCTACAGACAATAAGGAGTATAATGATCTATTTTAAGGCATCACAACTTCTGTTAAAAGTTTCTTACACTCAAAGGCAACAAAAGCCTCCATATTTGCTGTGGCCTTTCCATGTCCCTTAGATCTGCTATGTTTCTCAAGTATTTTCTTGACACTGGACCAATCTTTCAAAGGCATAGAAACCAACGCTACCTCCTTGGTTATTAAACACGAAAGACAGATCACAAAAACCCCACTCTAGCATTTAGAGTACTGTCCAATGCTTCTATTACTGAAGGAGCGGGGCATGGCACTGCAGGAGTCCTGACCCATTCCTGAGTCCATCAGCCTCTTTGGGAACAAGAAGTTGGAGGTGAGCAACCACTGGATTGCTAAAATGACCTTCATTTGCCTCTCACTCAGGCTCCTGTGATTTAATAGGCCAATGTCCTCCTCATTACGGACATCTTTCTCATCCCAGGACATGTTGTCACCTGTAGTTTGTGAGTTTACCTCCTGCTTTGCAACAGAAAAGATCTAAAACTTGCCCATTGACTTAACCCTCAGAATACCTTCCTGCTATACCATCAGCATTCTTGTTAAGTAAAAACTAGCTCTGACTGAGAAAGTAAAATCTACATGGCTACTTATCAGGTAGGAAAAACATAAAAAAAGCTGTAAAGTTAACAGGAAACAATATTTCTGCCAATGTCATGCAACATCTGTAAAGTGTCTTAATAACCCTACTCTTGAGTCACCACTGCTTTACTCATTGAGAAACTTTGTTCTCTAAAATCAAACTCTCAGAAACTTTGGTCTTTGAAATTTTATCAGTAAAAATGAAACATCTCACTCTTGCCTGGAAGATCTAAGTCACTTTAACATAGAAAAGCAGTTTCAATTTACAACCCAGGTGCAAAGCTTCAGAAAAGGGTTTTTGGACAACATTTTCATGGGTCCATTTTGCTGTCTAGGCCTGATGTTGACCCCTTTACACAGTCCTGCTTTGCTTTGAGCCTTTCTAAACAGTGTTTCATTTAAGCTCCATCTAAACAATGGAATTGTTTAAATTCCATTCCACAATCCTGTAACTGTATCTTTTCCTTCATTTGGTTAAATGCCCCATGGTGTTTCTGGTGTGCAGCGCCCCTTACTGCAATGAATCAATACACCTACTTTTGCTGGGCTACAGGTTTATTTCGGGTGATTTCAGGTTGACCGGGGTTGGACACTGTATTGCTCAGCTTCAGGTCTCCTAAAATGCAAATTTTTAAAACAGATGTAACAACGCATTTTTTTCACTCCTAAATATACATGCACCTGTCCACCATGCCAGGTAGGCATGCATAGAACTACTATGCCAATTTGTCATAACTGGGATTGGTTCACACATCTGAAAGTTTACAGGAACAAGAAAGGAAGTCAGATTTGGGGGTAGCTTTTGGTTCACGTCTTGAACAGGCTCAATTTTCTTTCTCTTTGGGGCCCCAGACATTTTGTCTGATAAACTAATGCCACCATCCCTCATGAGTGAGAAAAAAACGAGACACATCTACTCAGCTGCAGCTGACAGGAATACTGGGGTCCAGCTGGTTACAAGTGGACGGTTCTGGCCACGGTGACACGCGCAGGTACTCTACAAACACTGCAGGGAAGTGGGCGTGCTGCTGCTCTTCCCCACGTCCTCCAGCTGGGACCCGGGACCTGTGCAACCCCTCTGCTCGGCGCCTCGGGGCAGGAACCCAAAGCGGAGAGTACACCTTGCCCCTCACATCTGTCTCTTGCCACAGCAAGAGCAGTGAGGCGCGGTTCAGGGGCACACAACCTCCAAGGCAGCTCGCACGAAGGACCAGCGGAATCCCTTAAACGTGAGCGCCTCTGGCCGCCAGCTTTGTTGCAAGGGCGCACCTAGGCTCGACCTCCCTCTCGGCGATTGGACGAGCAGCTACGGCGTAGGTCTGCAGGGGGAGGCCCGAATAGACCACCGAGCGGCACCAAGACGCCATGTTGAATCCTGGCATCACCCACGAGTTGCCCTTCCTGCCGGTGATTGGACGAGCCAGTTGGTTCTCCCGGAAGGGGCGTAGCCCGCCAACCGGAGCTCTGCATGTGCTGGTCTGGTTATCTGGTTTCTGAGGTCTGTAGTTGCTAATGATTGTCTTGTTCATTCCTGGACTCCTGCGACCTCACGAGGTAGACAAGGCTTTCTTAGAGCTTCGAAGAAACCTGAAAACTGCCTGGGGCTGCTCGGGAGGGGATCTTGAGATGCTTCTTCAAGGACACGCTGTCGTTCTCTAGGAAGAAAAAGTTGGGAGCACATTCTAGGAAGAGGGGGCCCAGCTGCAGGAAAAGTCGCCAGAATTGTAGCTATAGCGGGATTAGGGATGAGGGACACAGAATGCCCAGAGAGGAAAACCTAGCAAGGTGTTGGGGTAAGCTTGTGGAGGGCCTTGAATGCCAGGCTAGGGAGTTTGGGCTTTATCCTATAGACTAGGGAATAAAAATGAACATTAGGAGGATTTCAGACAGAGATGACATAATCAGATAATTAACTTTAGAAAAATAATTCTGTTCCTGTGTGGAGTATCCAAAAATGTTTCCCAAAGTGTGTTCAGTGAACCAGTAGGGGAGCTTGTTTTTAAATGCAGGTTCTGGACTCTCTCCACACCTGCATATCATATTCTCTGCTTGTAGACCTAGGAAACTCCATTAAAAAACATTTAAGTTAACATATAATTGGGGAAAAGAAATGCACAAATCATAAGGGTAGAGCTCTGAATTTTCACAAGCTGAACACACTCATGTAACAAATATCCAGATGAAGAAACACCACCAGCAGTTCAGAAGCCCCTCTTCCCCTCCAGCCACTGCTGCCTGCGACAAGGGTAAACACAATCATTACTTCTAACAACCATAGATTAGTTTGCCTGATTTGAACTTTATATAAATGAAGTCACAGCATAAACTCTTTGTGTCTGATTTATTTCAGCTATGTATAAATTCATCCAAATTGTTCTGTGTAGTTGCTGTTGACTCCACTGCTACAGACTTCCACAGTTTATCCATTCTCTTGTTTATGGGCCTTGGATAGTTTCCAGTTTGGGGCTACTACCACAAAAGTGTTGTTATGAATGTTTTTATTCATGTCTTTTGCTTTGTAAATTATAAAGCAAGATACCAAGGCCTAAAGACTAATTCATTCACACCCACTTATTGAGCCCCTTATCAGGCATTATGCTAAGAAAAGAAGATGGCCAAGGTCCTGCCCTCATGGAACTTATTCCATTTGGCACAAAACTAGAACTTAAGTGAAAAGAAAAGTAAGTCAAACAATTGCAATTGTGGTAATAGCTCTGAGGGACAAAAGGCTGAGCTAGAAAAGCAGGAAGGGAAATGACCTATTTCTTTTATGTGGTAGTCCGGCTAAGTCTCTCAGAAGAGCTACTAGAAAAAAATACAAGAGATGGGTTGGCACTGCCATGAGATAAGTACAAACAGAGGGAAGAGCATTCCTCAGGGGAGACACCAGGTGCAAAAGTCACAGAGCAGGAGACAGCTTAGCCTGTTCAAGACCAGTGTGGCTGAAGCACAATGAAGGGGAACGGGGCTAGCATAAGGTGTGTTCGGATACAGGAGCATATGATGCAGGGCCTTGTAGCCCTGAGTAAGGAGTTTAGATTTTATTCTAAATACTGTAGAAAGCCACTGAAGTGTTTTAAACAGGAAGTGATGTGATCTGATTTATTTTTTAAAAAGATCCCTCTGACTGATGAGCAGAGAACAGGATTAAAGGGAGCAACAGAGAAAGCAGGTCACTTAGAAGGCTGTTTGAACAGCCCTGGGAAGATATGCTGGGCACAGAGCTTAAAGAAAAGGACTGAATACATCTGGGAATTGTCAGCACAATGATCACTACCATAATCAAGTGATGAAAGGCAACAAAGAGATATCCTGCATGTGTTCTGATGTGGTGGATCAAGGGCACCACACTTCTACCAAAAATGCATAATCTCAATCTAATCATGAGGAAAACTACAATAAATCCATATTGACAGACATTCTACAAAATAACTAGGCTGTATTTAAAAAACGTCAGCACTATGAAAGACAAGGAAAAGCGAAAGAACCACTACGAAGTTTTTAAAAACTAGACATGATAACTAAATGCAACTTGTAATCCTCCATTAGATCATGGGCCAGGAAAAAAATTTTTTTCATTTGCTTTGAAGGACATAAGTGGGACAACTGATAATATTTGAATAAGGACTGCAAATTAAATAATAGTCTATATACCGTTATTAATTTCCTGATTTTGATCTTTGTTCTGAATACGTAAGATAATGTCCTTGTTTTTAGGAAATAACACATTTAAATATGTAGAGATAAAGGAAAGTGTCTGCAATTTCCTCTCAAATGGTTCCTAAAATAACCGATAGAACGATAAAGTAAACATAAAATGTTAATGTTTGGGGAATCTAAGGAAGAGTTTATGGGAATTATTTGTAGTAGTTTTGTAACTTTTCTCTAAATCTGAATTACTTTAAAATGAAAGGTTAAAAAAATTACTAGGGTCACTTAGGGAGAGGGAAAAAACAATACTAAGCCACGAGCAACAACATTTAGACAAAAACAGAGAACTGACTAATAGAAGGAAAGATGCAAGAATGTCAAAAAACTAAGTCAAATGGAATGCGGACAGAATTACATTGGACGTCATAGCTTCTGTGCTCTTCTTCACCCTAAAATTCTAAGAGATGACCTTTCTGCACGTCACCCGCAAGATCACCGAAACAAATCCCTCGACTCATGTCCGGGAAAAAACACGCCAACTGTGGCCGGCTCCGCCATGTTTTCCCAGTGCGCATGCGTGTGCGTTCGCACGCACGCACGCACGCACGCTCCAATCCAAACCAATCGGTGCACACGTCGGCGTCTCCCCCGCCACAGGGCGGGGCGGCCTTCTACACATGCGTACGGCTGGGCGGGCCCTGTCTCTTCTCGCCGAACGCCGCCAACATGGTGAGTATTGCCGTTCTGGGCTCCAATTCTCACCGCCGTGCAGCTCTGCCGCTGCCTCTGCAGGGAAGCGGAGGCGCGGAACGGTGCCCAGCGGCTCTTAGGTAGCCCGTGGTGAGGGTCCCGGGGCTGGCGGAGCACGGAGTTTGGGGATTTCCCGGACGTGTGGCAGGCGAGCTCGTGGAGGGCCTGGCCGACCCGGCGCGCCTTGGGCCACGCGTGCGCAATGCCCCCGGCGGATCCCGACTGCTGGGGCGGCGGGTGACCTGGTGGGGCAGCCGAGGCCGAGCTGGGCTGGGGCTGGGGGGCTGGTGGGCTGGGGAGTTCAGGCCCCATAGGCCTGGAGGCCCGAGGGAACTCGGCTTTTGCCGCCGCCGGCTCTGCGGATTTTGTCCGTCCAGGTCGAGCCATGACACTTGGCCGTGTTCCCCCCCGACGTTCTTTTCCGCGGTACTTAGCCACGTTGTCTTTAAGCTGCAGAGCCTTATAAACTAGCGAGTATTTTTAGTCAGCGTCGCTCTTCTCCCCCCCAACCCCCCATTTTAGGTGTTCAGGCGCTTCGTGGAGGTTGGCCGGGTGGCCTACGTCTCCTTTGGACCTCATGCCGGGAAGCTGGTCGCGATTGTAGATGTTATTGATCAGAACAGGGTAAGTGTAAGGAAAAGTGTCACAAGTTTAGTTCACGTGGCAGTGAATGGTATGTAGTATACGTGGTAACGGTGCTTATTCCAATGGTCCTCTAAGGTAGGAGTGCTCTAGGTGGTAGCTTTAAGAGTATTTATCCATTTTGCTTACTGTTACGTATTGCACTGAGATCCTTGATCTTATGTATTCTAGGCTTTGGTTGATGGACCTTGCACTCAGGTAAGGAGACAGGCTATGCCTTTCAAATGCATGCAGCTCACTGACTTCATCCTCAAGTTCCCACACAGGTAATTATCCACCAGCCTTCATCCCTCCCCAGATTTGTTTATACCAGTAAAAGTTTGCTTAGTTGAATTAAAAAATGTTTTTGCTATTTCGTTTTTCCCCTGAAAATATAGTAGACAATGTTGAGGAGAGAAAGCAATTTAGAAGGGGGATTTACAGTGTAGATGTAGACAGGTATTATTTACTTTTTAAATGTCTCGTGATCTGGTAGTTCTCTGGCTTTCCCTTTATCCAGATTTGCCATCCTCTTTCTTGTTCCCCTTTCAGGATTTACACAGCAAAGACCTCCCTACGGAATTCTTTTTTCTTGGAAAATATTAGTTAGTTTTGCTTCCAAACAAAGATACTGATTTCTTTTCTAAAACTAGCTATCATTAGTTCAGCTTTTACTGTGTGTCAGTTAGTATTTAACATACATCATCTCAATATGGCAGCTGCTAAGCATGTTCTACCAGCTGCTTGAAAGGAATTGAGACAGTCAGTGGTGAGTCTTTCTTCGCACGTTGTAGATTATGGAAGTTAAAACACCGTGGTGTGTCGTTAGAGAGCTGCAGCGACGGTGCAATGGAACGTGTACTGTTACTTTATTTTTTAAGTATACTGAGTTTTGATACTTGAAATATTTGAAAGAAATTCAGAATGATTATAGTTGGATTTTATGATGATTGACCACAAATCTTTAAACATTTTATACAGAATAAAACAGTAGGCCTAAGGATTAACTTCACCTCATTCTCTATGAAAAGGAAATCATTTTGTACACATCCACTATCCTGGAGTGGTAGTATACATAAGAGGTGATTTTTAAATCCAGAAAATGGTCTGGTTTGCCTTTTTTATTAAAGTTGTGTGTTTGACATTATAAGGCATCCTGGCTTAGTGAACTCCGTTCAAATAAGTAAATGGCAGTGGAGACAACTAGATCTGGAAGTATAAAAAAAGAGAAGGATAATTTTGGCATTGTTTTGCGTACACTTTTTAATTTGAGGTATAAATTGTGCTTTTCAGAGGACACAAACCTGTCCTTGGATTGGCGTGGCTTCAAAGCTAATTCCTTAATCTATGGTGTTGCTTCTTTTATAGTGCCCGCCAGAAGTATGTTCGACAAGCCTGGCAGAAGGCAGATATCAATACAAAATGGGCAGCCACAAGATGGGCCAAGAAGATTGAAGCCAGGGAAAGGGTAATGACTTAAGATCATTTGAATTCTGACCTTTTCTTTTCTGGAGGGTTGGTATGAGAGGGGTAATATCTTTGTGTGTTTTGTGTTTTTTTTTTTTTACAGAAAGCCAAGATGACAGATTTTGATCGTTATAAAGTCATGAAGGCAAAGAAAATGGTAAGTTTTGAAAAATTATTCAGGATTGTTGTATTCTAACCCTAAACTTGATTGGTAATTCTGCTTACCCAAGCTTGGTACGCCAAAATTGACTTCATAAAAGTCTTAGATTTAAGGGTTGTCTTTTATACGCATATATGCTATATATGCTGGCAACCTATGTAGATGTAGAGATAAGATTGACAAAATATGTGCATTCATATGTCATAATTATACATTTTTTGCATGCATGTATGATAAATATTTATATTGAAATTTTTCAGAGGAACAGAATAATCAAGCTTGAAGTTAGGAAGCTTCAGAAGGCAGCTCTCCTGAAAGCTTCTCCCAAAAAGGCACCTGCTGCTAAGGGTGCAGCTGCAACAGCTGCCGCAAAGGTTCCATCAAAAAAGACGACCACTGCGGGCAAGAAGGCTCCAGCCCAGAAGGCTCCAGCCCAGAAAGCTGCAGGCCAGAAGGCAGCGCCTCCGAAAGCTCAGAAGGGTCAGAAAGCTCCGGGTCAGAAAACTCCAGCCCAGAAAGCACCTGCTCCAAAGGCGTCTGGCAAGAAAGCATAAGGGGCTGTTATAGAAATAATAAAGATTCTTTTTGACGTGCTAGCAAATCTGTTTGATCTATGGATTAAAGTCTTGCTAGGGCTGGGATTGTGACACAGATTGATGGTAGAATTGTTGATGTCATCCTTAGAGAATCAGTTACTTTGTCCCACTCTGCCCAGACTTGGCCAGTATAAAGTCGTCACACACGGTCATACGTAACTGGTTAATGTTCTCATGGGAAATTCTGATAATTAGGACACCAGGTGATCTTTTTTTTCCTCGTACAGATATGTTCTTCATAAATATGTAAAATCCCAGCAGCTTTTGATGCTTGAAAATTTAGTAAATTTTATAAAAATACACTGTAGAAAAGCAAGATTAACTAAAATGCGTTATGGTCTGTTAGTTTCTAGTTAACCTATCATTTCTAACCAACAGCTGGCTTCTCAGCTTCACTGGGATAATGGGGCAAAACTCATTTTTGCTTGGTTGTATTAATAGGCTAGAGAAAGTTTAATAGCTTCTGTGATAGAGGGAATAGTGGCAATTTTGGATTCTATGTCCTAGCCTGAAGGGTAGGGAGTTGTCTAGAGAAACTGGAATCTTCAGCTATGACTTGGAAGAAAGAGGGTGTAAGAGGAAGGGTGGGAATGTAGAGCACTGGCTAGAGAGCACAGAACAAGGAGGGTGGGGGGCACTGTAGGAAGCCATTGAGTGGATTTTTGTTTGTTTTGAGGAAGGTTAGCCCTGAGCTAACTACTGCCAGTCCTCCTCTTTTTGCTGAGGAAGCCTGGCCCTGAGCTAACAGCCGTGCCCATCTTCCTCTACTTTATATGTGGGACGCCTACCACAGCGTGGCTTTTGCCAAGCGGTGCCATGTCTGCACCTGGGATCCAAACCAGCAAACCCCGGGCCGCCAAAGCGGAACGTGTGAACTTAACTGCTGCACCACCGGGCTGGCCCAAGTGGTTTTAAATGGAGTGATAACCTCAGATGTAGATCATTATGCTATTAGACTGAATTTTAAGGGGTCAGGACTGGGAAGGTCAGAAATGGTATGAAGCTTGATAGTATTCCTCACCTTGACAGTGGTCCAAACCAAGTAAGTAGTAGTGATGCCACAATTTAGGGCTTGATCATGGATTGGGCTGGAAGGGAAAGTCAGGAAACCAAATGTGGTAAGGGTTTCTGGCTTTTACTACTGGCTCTGGCTGTGGAAGAAAACGAGATGAGTTTTAAGACATGATACAGACTGTCGGGGCAGATAGGCAAGGATGCTGACAACCTATATTCAGATCCTGGCTCTGCCACTTAGAAGCTGTTGTGATTTAGGCATGTCCCTTAATCCTCAAAGTCTGCTTTTCCTCTATGTAGTATGCTTCATGGAGTAGGGAAATCATGATTGTACAGCCCAGTGTTTGGCTCGTGGTGATAGCTGTCATGGTTATGACACGGAGAAGTCTCAAGGACAGATTGGGGATTTGTGGTATGTAAATGGTCATTCTAAGATTGCCCAGGATTAGAGAGGACAAGAATCAGCAAGAGATTTTGAAGGAGTGGTCAGAGGTAGGAAAGTAGGAGGGAGATAAGGAAGCCACAGAAAGAATGTTGGTTGAGATTGTCAAGGTGAGGGGGAGAGGGCAGTAAGTGAAGGAGAAGTGTTAGGTGGAGTTTGGAGGTTGTAATTTTGTAAAGTTGGAGTGACTAGCATGTTTGAATGCTGCTGGAAAAGCAGCTAATTGGAGGATAGGAGTTTGGTTCTTGAAGAAACAAGACAGAATGGAGCCTAGAGAAGAGGAACTGAATACCTTTACAGGACAGAGGGGCTTTGCATGAAGAGGAAAAGGAAGAAAAAGTTGGTTTAGATGCTAAATATGTAGGTTTACTGTCAGGAAATTGATATTGTCTCACTGTGATCTCTGAATTTCTTGAGTTAGAAAGCAAAGTCACACCGAGAAAGGGGGGAATGAG